ACTTAACAACAGCGTGACTAACTTAACAACTGCAGTGATTCATTTAACAAATGTGGCAAGAAAGGTTGAAAAATGGGGCATAACTCACTTAACAAATGTTTCACTTAGCAACAGAAGTGTTGGGCTCAATTGTGATCCGAAATTGTGGGCTGTAATGGGAAAGCCCAGCCTGTGTCTTATCTCTGGTTCAAGGGGCTCTTTTGATTCAGGACTGGCAATCAGACAAAATCAGGACCTCGTCCCTTCTCTGGAACCCCTGGGTTGCTTCCAGAAAGGATGGGGCCCTTCAGCCACTCCAGACCAGTCCCGGGCAGCGTGTGGAGCAACAGCCTTGTGGCCACCCACCCACCTCAGCCCAGCTTCCAGCAAGTAGCTGCTGGTAGGAGCAATCGCTGAATGGTTTGCTCTGGTTTATTTTTTTATAGGCGTATGTTTTTTTAAGCAAAATGTCATTATTTCTATGGCTCACAGAGCAGGAATTTTATTGCCAAAATATAATGGTGTCTACAGAAGAAAAAGAAATATTTTCCAATCTGGCAGAAGAACATAAGAGACCATTGTACAACTGGATTTTCTCTCATGGCAGGAAGATGATCTGCAGTTGAGTCATCTTCCCATTGAGACAATTCCATACGGCTGCAAAACAAACACAACTGGGAAGACGACCTGGGTTGTGCCACCCTTGGCACAAACTTCAGTATGTCAGTTCAGAGAAAAGGAGGCACATCTTGGACTCCCCAAAGTACTCACTGATCCCGGAATCCTGCCACCCTCAGACTTGCCTGGATCAGGCAGGCTGCCTTCAAGTGATACTGCTGGGAAAGTCTACTTTTAAAGCAACTGTTGACAGCTTGTAGGTAATCTCACAATCCCAACCCATTCCCTGGCCTTTTCCCACTGACTGCAAAGCCAGAGCTTTCTTATACAGTAGAAGTCTCTAACTCACAGGTGGATAAGGAAGGCTATTCTTATGCAAGGCTACCATAGGCCCAATCACCACCGTGTAACACACATCTTTATTTGTGTATGCAGGGTAAAAATAGGCCCATTATATCATCCCACGTGTTTCAGGCTTCCCAGGTGCCAAGCTCTCTGCTCTGCTGGATCTCTCCTTCTTTCTGAAGTCAGAAAGGTCTCCTCCGCTCAACAGGCACTTCCTTAATTGTCTGGGTTATCTCAAAGACAACACACAAGGCTTCAACCAATCATCACCTAAGAATGCTAGGATGCAATTCACCAGGTTTGGGGGGGTTAAATTCATTTAAAGTGGTATTTCCTAACCATGCTTCAAATTTACTCCTTCATACTGCAATTAAGACACAGAAATGGAAAATATAAAGAGGACATCTGCTTTTGGGTATCTGTTAGTATTTTGCCTCCTTCAGGGAGCAGCTGGCATACTGATTTGATTCCTTTTATTTTTTTAACTTATCTAAAGAAAAGTGCCCTTTTGTTAGCATGCTTTGCTGGGCTCAGTCCATTCTGAATTTTAGCTCCTTGACAATTGGTTTCCCGTCCTCTACAACCCAACCTTGCTCACTGTCAAACCCAATGAAGTTCAGATGAGTCAGAAGTCAGCTGCCCGTATTTAGGATACATCTGTTGCTGAGTTACAGGACTGAGTCAGGACAGGCCACTACAGCCCTTGGCAGGCCAGGAGTCCACAGAGACACGTTTTCAGCAATCTCTATCAGGAAGCCCTGAAGAATATCGTGGAAGGGTTTGCCTTTGGAAGTTGTGGGTGCTCCATTGATGGAGTTTTTTAAGTTGGGACACAGCCACTCTTCCAGGGGCCCACTTGTCTGATATACAGATAACTGGAAGGGCATCTTTCCTGGAAAGGCTGCTTGCTATCACCTCTTCAGTGGACCTTTTAGAGAATTTGGCTCAGGCATATTTTTTTTCACAAAACTTTGAAAGTATTTCTCCTCTTCAGCAACTGAAAGAAAAATTTACATGATGCTCCATAATATAAACATTTTGGTCTTCCAAGAGCCAAAACACTACACAATTACCCAGTATGGAACTTCAAAAAACATGGAGAGGGCACACAAGTAAATTCAGTTGTTAAGTGAATCATGCAGTTGTTAAGCAAATCTGGCTTCCTCCACCCCACATTGACTTTGCTTGTCAGAAACCAGCTGGGAAGGATATAAATGAGTATCACCTGACTCTGGGACAGTGCAAGTGTCATAAACCAAATTTTGATCATGGGAATGCTGCAACGGTTGTGAAAACTGGTTGCAAGTCACTTTTTTCAGAGTCAATGTAATTTCAAATGGTCGCTAAACAAATGGTTGTAAGTCGAGGACCACATAAATGAACACTGGTCATTAGGAAAAGCACAGCATTGCTGTTACCTAACTATGATGTTTTATTAGGACTGATTGTATTTACAACTCTACCATTGTCTCTCATGAGATGCAATATAACCACAATCTTTGAATTACAATCTGGAACATACTTTCCTGATAATAAATTCCCTTATACTCAAGACGCTTATTCCCAAACTGACTGAATTCATCTTCAGTCCTATCTCTCCCCAGGAGCTATGAATCCATCCCATCGATTCTGGGCAGTTGTTATTCTTCAAAGTTGGATTTTTCTCAAATGTTGATTTAGCGGCACTGACTGCATTTCAAAGTGATAACTTCCCATTGAGACATTTTGGCAGAAGCTAAACAACCATCTGTTTAGAGATACTGTACACTTGCAACAATAAAACTCCTCTCAACATGTGGAGCTTACTTAGAGAGCAATTACTGTACAAGCAACTCAGCTTAAGACACTATTTTTTAGACACATGATATTCTGTTAGTTTGAGGATTGTTACAGATTTTTTTTTTACTTGTTGACTGAAACATAGATCTGAGAGGAAGTCTCATTCTAGGCTTCTGCCACTAAACAACCTGAACAGTCTTTTCCCTTTTCTCAACATAGAATAGAATAGAATAGAATAGAATAATAGAATAGAATAGAATAGAATAGAATAGAATAGAATAGAATAGAATAGAATAGAGGACCTTGGAGGTCTTCTAGTCCAACCCCCTGCTCGAGCAGGAGACCCTATACCCGTGATGGTGAACCTATGGCATGCGTGCCACAAGTGGCACGTGGAGCCATACCTGTGGGCCCGCAAGTATTGCCCTAGCTCAGCTCCAGCGTGCATGGGTATGTCAGCCAGCTGATTTTTGGGCCTTTCGGGCCCACCAGAAATCGGGAAACGGTCCATTTCTGGCCTCTGGGGGGGAGGCCATTTTCATCTTCCCCAGGTTCCTAGAAAGCCTCTGGAGCCTGGGGAGGGCAAAAAACAGGCTACCGGGCCCACCGGGCCATCGCGTGCCAAAAGTGAGGGGAGCGCGTGTGTGTGTGTCATATGTGCATGCACGGTGGGTGGGGCACAGTGAATTATGGGTGTGGGCACGTGCGTGCTCGATCCCCCGCGCTCCCCTCCCCGCTTTTGGCACGCAATGGCAAAAAGGTTATTGCCCCCACAAACTGGGTCCTCAATTTACCTACCTTAGAAAGGATGGAAGGCTGAGTCGACCTAGAGCCTGGGGAGATTCGAATTAGCAGTAATTGCAGGCAGCTGAATGATAATAACAGGCTATTAGTCTGCTGCGCCACCAGGCTCTTTCCTTGATTAGTTTCCATCCATTGCTTCTTATTCTGCCTTTTGGTTCTTTGGAAATTAGGTCAACCATCTCATCTTTGTAGAAGCCCCTCAAATGTTAGAATATTGGTCCTTTCCCTGTGCTTGAACACTTACCTAATTGCTAAGGACAAATCTAGTTAAGCTAAACCTCAAGAGTTCTCCCTGACTGAAAACTTGCTCTTTAAGATAAATGGCAGTTCCATTCATCTCAGTTTCTTATTTTCCAATAGCATTTCCATATGGCTTTAATTTCAAATTGTCTTCTCTTGCCCATTCACCCAAGATTGTCACAGTTCGGCAATCTTCCAGAAGTACAGATTGCTTGAGCTCCTGTTGAGCTATACTGATAACAGATATTCCGGTGGTCCCTACTCACACCTTCTTGTAGATGCTGAATGATGGAATTCCCTAGGACACTATAGCTCAGTGACCAAAATGCTCAACAATAGTCCTATAACACCTGCACCAGGTGCAACAGGAAGGACCAGAACCTAAACCGCAATCTCTAACGATACAGGGGGGCTGAATGGTAAAGTAACTTTTCAAACGATGCCAGGCATCAGCAGCAGATATCATTTTGAGAATAAAAACTTCAAAAAGCCCCTACAAGGTCAATATATCAATACAAGGTCAGAAATGCCCTCCTATAAAACCTATAGAGGAGAAAATAAAAAGAGGCAGGTTGCAAATAATGGAGTCTCCTTAGGATAAAAGTATAAAGGAAAAAAAATACCAATTGGCCCGTTTCCTATGCTTGGAAACAGTCTAAAAACTCTCTTTGGTAGGAACCGGAGTAAAGAAAGATACACAAACACATATTAGCAGAACTCCAGAGAGGGCGAATTAGGTAAAGGAGGGCCAATAACACACCAGGAGAAATAGAGAAGCCCTCTCCGCTTCCGCTACCTTCTCCATCCTCTAAAGTAAGAGCCTCCAAACTCGGCAACGTTAAGACGTGGGGACTACAACTCCCAGAATCCCGCAAGCCAACTGTGGGAGTTGTAGTCCGCCCAACCTGAAAGGCCCCGAAGTTGAGATGCGTTGCCCCAGAGCGGCGGCTTCTCCGGGGCTTCACCACCTGAGGAAACCTCCCTTCTCCCCCCCCCACCACCACCACCGAGCATCCCCTCCTGAGGGACCGCAAGGCAATTTTTGCTCCGTCCCACTTGCCGGCTGCGGAACCCGGCCACTCCCCCACCGCTCCTTCCCACCGGGAAGCCTCAGAGCCGCCTCCTCCTCCTCCTCCTCCTCCTCCCCGAACCCGAAAGCCTCGAGCGGGCCGGAGGGGCCCCGGGCTGAGACCCCGGCGCGGCCTGCTTCCCGCGGGGCCCGAGGCCTTCCTCACCGGGCTCCAGCAGATGAGCGCGTCCGTGTCCGGGTCCTCCACCAGCGTCCACAGCTTGGTGAGGAAGGCCGGCACGTTGCTGCCTCCTCCGGCCACGGCGCCGGGGGGCTCCATGCTAGCGGTGGCGGCCCAGGCCCGGCCCGCTTTCCTGGGCCGGGCAGGCCCTGCGACGGGCTCCGCTGCTGCCGCCGGAGCGGGCGGCGCGGAAACGACTAGCGGCCGCGGCTGATCCGGCCTCGCCAAAGCCCGACGCCGCGCTGCGCACTCGCTCCCTCAGAAGGAACGGGCATGGCCGCCGCCATCTTGCGACGCGCAGGCGCAACGCCGCACGCACGCACGCGCCGTCTGGACACAGTGTTGTGCCTCGCGCCACGGGGTCTGCCTGTTGTAACGCGCATGCGCCCCACCTGTTGTCGGGCGCAGATGCGCGCATGCGCGGCCCTTCCACCTGTTCGAACTGTCCACGGAGCTCGCTGCAGGGAGGTCTCCGGGCGCCTTCCGAGTCTCAGGGAAGGGTGGGGGGGGTCCTTCCCGGGATGCCGGCAGGGTGGCTGCAACTGGCCCGATGGACCCGCTTTGCAGGCGCTCCTTTTGCTTCCGTCTGTGCCAAGAGACAAGGAGGCAGCGGCAGCGTCCTCGGTGGGGGCGTTCGCGCTGCAAGGGGCAGGAAAACTGGGCTGGATGTCAGCATTTGGGGGAACCGGATCCGATTTGCGTGGACTATCCTCGCTCCAAGCTTCCTTCCCCCGTTGCTCGTGCAAGCCGGTAATAGATCCTTGCGGTCGTTGTTAAGTCGTGTCCAACTCTTTGTGACCCCCATGGACCATAGCATGTGAGCCCCCCCCTCCATCCTCCACTGTTTCCCAGAGTTTGCCCAAATTCATGTTCATCGATGGCACTATCTGCCGTTCCCGTCTCCTTTGGCCTTCCCTCTTTCCCAACATCAGGCTCTTCTCATTTGGTGGCCGAAGTGTATTTGAGCTTCAGCTTCAGGATCTGCCCTTCCAAAGGACCCGCAGGGTTGGTTTCCTTTAGGCTTGACTGATGGGATCTTGCAGTCCAGGGGGCTCTCAGGAGTCTTCTCCAGCACCACGATTCAAAAGGCTCAATTCCTCAGCACTCAGCAGTCCTTGCGCTACTCCCTTCCAAAGTTTCACGAGCTTTAGCAATAATTCCCGAAGTAATTACTATCCCATATTGCACCAATGACTTTATCATTTAGACAGCGAGGACTTCAACTCCCAGAATTCCCCAGCCAGCCAGTCCAAATCAAGCCGCCGCCGCCGCTGCAGAAGTGGGGAGTCTTTCTTGGCGCCTCCTGTTTAAAGCTATCTGTCTCAACCCGAGATAAAGGCAGCCTTCCCTATACCACCACCACCACCCGGACAATCTGGGGATCGCCCCGAAACGAAGCGCGGCTCTTCCCGGCTTTAACGAGGGACTCGCCGGTCGCTTTGACTTGGACCAGCGGCCAAGGGGCGGGGCTCGGGCGAGAGAGGGGCTTCCCGGGTCCAAGGCGCATGCGCGGCGGCCAACGAGAAGCGGCTAGGGCGGAGCGAAGGCCTCTGCGGACGTAGCGCGCAGGCGCCACTCGGAGGGGGCGGGGCAGGGGGCTTCCGGCGCATGCGTAGTGGCTGGTGTCGGCTGAGGCGAGCGCACGCGGAGCCTTGGGAGCAGGGCTGAGGGACCGGCGGAGGCGGCTTTGGCCCGGTGAGCGCGGGGAGCCGAGTCTAGGCGGGCCGCGGGGCGTCGGCCAGGCGGGGAGGGCAAAGGCTCCGCCGCGGAGGGGCGCCGGGACGGGCGCGGCCTTGTCCGGCCCGGTTGGCGGGTCTTGAGGGTCTCCGGGCGGCCTCCCACAAAGGCGGGCTGGGGGTCTGGCTGAAGCGCGGGGCCGTTTCTCCCTCACGATATTCGCGCGGTCATAAGCAAGCGGGAGTTCTGAGGTGCCAAAACCTGGCTGTGCTCCCGAGGGACGGAGGAGGATTCGGGCAGCGTGTGGCTGGAGGGCAGAGGAGGAGTTCGTGGCCCGCCCCGTGCTCCGAAGTAAGGAGCCGGTCGCAGGGGGAGCTGTGGCGGGAGGTTGTTTTGCCGAAGAGGCACGGGCTCTCAAGGCCAGAGAGAAGGCGGCTGAGCCCGCTTATAACAGAGGCGGAAGGGGACCCCCAGAGGTCTTCTAGTCCAGCCCCCTCCTCAGGCAGGAGGCCCTATAACAGATGGCTGTCCAGGCTCTTCTCCACGACCTCCAGGGATGGAGCACCCACAACTTCCTTCCACTGGTTCTCAAGGTCAGGAAATTCCTCCCTAATTAGTTCCAGGTTGCTTCTCTCCTTGATTCTTCCTAGCCCTGGCCTTAGGAGCTCTCAGGAATTGCATATAGAACATTGCAATACTGATTTAGATTTTATACATTGAAAAATACAAATTTGGGGTATTTGGGTTGAAAGGAGAAATTAATCACGGAATGGGTTGCCTCCAGATGTTTGGGGTGTCCCCTCACTGAAGGTTTTCAAAAATAGACTGGACAACCATTTGTTATATGGCATAGGGAAGGAGTGTCCAACATTGGGAAGTTTAAGACTTAATGGACTTCAATTCCCAGAATTTCCCAACCAGCAGAGCTCCATCCTAATTCTAGGAATTAAAAGTCCACAAGTCATAACATTCCCAAGGTTGGACACCCCTGGTATAGGGTCTCCTGCCTGAACAGGAGGTTGGAGTAGAAGACCTCCAAGGTGCCTTCCAACTCTGGTAACCGGCAAATGCTGACAGGATGACAATCCCAACCGGTCCTTTGGGGAGATAAATTCTGCACGAGTCAAGTGTGGGAGAGAGGTTATGCAGGCTTTATTAGCATTATAGTGCTTTGAATCGTATGCTTTCCCTTCTACAGCCCATTCTCAGCACCAGGATGTTTGAAGAGCAAGAAGAGGCAGGCGATCTTCTGACAGACAGTGACGAAAGTGTCTATTCTGGACTGGAAGATTCTGGAAGTGACAGCCTTACAGAAGAGGAGGAAGACCAGGATCATGGAGCTGAGGAGAAGTCAAAAGGGAAGTTGCGCTCCAGAAATAGTCAAGTAAGTTGATCATTTCAGAGGCTGGTAATACTGTGTTTCTGAAGAACAGCCAGGAAATTGGCTGGCACAGCCATGAAGAATTGGGGGTGGGGGAGGATACCAGCTTTGCCTGCTTGCCCCTCAGGATCACTCTGGAATCTGTCTGGTTTTTGTTTCCACTGTAGCCTAGAACCCACAAAACATGTGTTTTGTTATTGTCAGACCACAGTTGATCCAAAGTATTTGGACAGAATTTCAAGAATGCAATGGCTTGTTTAGGGTTTGGGAAAAAATATTTTTCATTTCATGTTCATTTGTAAGAGAAACCAAAATAGCTTTGTCCAATGTGTTCCTTCTGTGTTGGACAGTCTGTAACCCTTAAAGTGAAGCTTACCTGCAAAGGGGGAGGTAGAAAATGGCTATTTTAGTGAAAGACATAATCATGCTTTAGTCTCTTCTCATAGGTCATATCCTAAAGTTCTTGTATCATTTTTGTACCTTTCTCTGTACCTATTTTAACTAGTCAAGTTTTGTTCTTCAGTGGGCTGCTTAGAATAATGCACCATAATCAAGGTGGGGTCTCAGTAGTGCTGAGCAAAGGAGTATAAGGACTTCATGCATCTTTAATGCCAAAGGTGGGGAACAATGGCCTTTTTATGAGGACTTCAACTCCCATGCTGGCTCAAGTCATAAAGGGGGCATTGTTCCCCACCTCTGTTTACTGCTGCTTCTAATCTGGCCCAGAATTATGTTACTCCTTTTAGCAGCTATTTCATACTACTGGCTTATGTTTAGCTTGTTAATGTTGACAAATATCTGTTGCAAGGTATTTGTAGGTGCAGGTTTTTATATGTATGTGGATTTCTTGGGATATTTTTTTGTCTCAATTATTAGCAGCCTGGGGTGTCCAGAAATAGGCAGCACATAAGAACGTATATGCATACAAAAATACTTGCCATATTAGAGTGCAATCATGTTCCATCTTCCTGGGTTTTGGCCAGATCTCCCTGTTCTGTATTATCAACAAGTTTAATAAGCAATCCAATCCTTTTATCCAGTTCCTGAATAGAAGTATTGAATAATTCTGGTCCCAAGACAGATCCTTGTGGGATCCCATTGGTTGTTATCTATATGTAGCAATGAATTATTTCAGAGTGCTTTGCCAGCCAGTTGTGGGCCTCTGCTACTGTCGTACCATCCAAGCCACATTTTAGCCTGTCAATGAGAATGTCATCTGTAACCTTGTCAGAAGCTTTCTTGAAATCAGTATAGATTATATCCACACAACTCCTTTCATAATAGTTATCCTGTTAAAGCCTCTATTTTTTTTATTGCTTTTGGCAATCATGTTTGGGTTCAAAATGCTTGCAAATGGCCTCCTTTATTATCTTCTCTAAAATGTTCTCATGTTTTTGAGTCACTGCTCCATAATTAGAGGATCCTCTTTCCTGTTAGAAGAGTGGAGTCCCACTTGCTGATCTTCAGCCTTCTGGCATCTTCCTGGTTCTGCAGGATTCTCTAAAGACACCTGACATAGGCCCAAAGAGCTCTTTGCCCTTCCGCCTGCTAAGGCATATTTCATCAGGGATGGACAACATCTGGCTTAGCCAGAAGGTACTTTCCGCATCCTTACTGGCCTGCACCCTCCCGTGTTGAGTTCCTTCCTAGCCTGTGCAACACAAATCATCTTCCTCTGGATGTGTGGCGGGGTGGAAAGAGAGCTGAGTTGCTTTGCTTTCCCTTGATTAAGATCATTCATCTGGAGTGCTCCTCAATACTCTGAGAATCAGTTGGATGAACCTCAGACAGGTGAATTCATTCTATATAATCAGCTGTTCCTTCCTTCTTCCTCTCTGGTCTTGTGTTGTTCCTCTAAAACTGTGGCATATGGATTTAGTTCCCTGGCTTGACTGTTGTGCTGGCGGCATAAATCATCAGGAGAGAGAAACATGGAGAAGGAGCTGAGATAGAATAGAATAGAATAGAATTTTTTATTGGCCAAGTGTGATTGGACACACAAGGAATTTGTCTTGGTGCATATGGCTTGGGTGTGCAGTTGTGCTGTTTGAGGGCTGATGAGCTAACCTGGCTTGTTGGCAGGCAGATAGAGGCAGCGTTCCAATTGGTCAAGACTATTATGTTAGTGTTGAGGACTAAAGCAGGGAGCCTGTTACCTTAGTAGCTGGTCTGACTAGTGAAGAAAATGAGAGAGAAACAGAGATACTTCGCTACATTTCAGCAAGTCTTTCAGAACATATTGATGGAGAGAAACATTCTAGTAAGTGTTCGAGAGAGTTAATTTGTGCAGTCACAATTTCCTGGCCCAAAGGTGGAGAAGAGAGTAAAGACATTAATGTGAGACTTCCTAGCAGAAGAGAAGCAAAACTTCCACTAGAAGGACAAACTATACCCAAGACCCAAGGAAGATGGGGAAGGAGGGAGATGGCTGGCTGCCTACGGACAGTTTTCTAGACCCAGAGGGAGGTGCCTTACGAAGTCTGTGTGAATTTTGCTCAGAAAGTGGAGAAATGAGATCACACGGAGAAGAGGCAGCTTTCTTTCTCATCATGGAGGAGACAGAACTTTTATTGGAAAGCAAAAATAGAAAAGGAAGGAAAAGCATCGAGGAGTGTTTTTCTGCTTGGCCTCTGATTTTTTTCAGCTTCCCTTTGCCAGTTTTCCCCCCAGCCAGTAAAAATGTGAAGAGCTTCTGATCATAGAGTTGAAATCTTGTTCAACCGCCTGTCCAGGACAGAAAACCTCAAATCATTTCAGACATAACTACCATTATGAAAACTTAATGCTTTTTCTCTTCTTTTGGGCAAAAAATAAGAATGTTTGCTGTAAAGAAATGCCACTGGTTACAAGGAGAAAGCCTTGGAAATGAAAGTAGTTTAAATTTTACCAGAATTGGGTCACTAATAAAGGAAAATTAAGTCCTGGGTATTAATTGGCTCCAGTTTCCAAGATACAGCTTCAGGTCAAAATTGCATCAAAATAATTCAAAATTATGAGGCAGATTATGCTCGATAGCTTTTCTGCAAAATGTGATACAGCAGTGAGAATGGTGCCACACCAATCATTATAAATGTATCTTTATTAATACCAACAACATAACTTTTCATTCATTTATTGGTTTTTCATGTAACATTTTTCATGAAAAACTGACAAGCTCTAACATCAGATTAAACGACAAGGTTCCATCTTTATTTGGTTTCTAAACTGCGCTTTTTGGCTTTTCTCTTGTGAAGTGCAGTAGGATCATTCCTGGGGAGATTCCAGCAGTAATCGTCAAGGATGGATGGACTCTGTTTCCCTTGGTATCTTTTCTCCATGCCTGCGATATCCTGATGGAATCTCTCCCCATGCTCATCACTCACTGTCCCCTAGTTCAAAGGGAAATATTGTCTAAATGCAAGTGTAAGAAGTGAATTTTTAGTGACATGTTTGCACCAAGTGCTTTATAGGACTTAAGCAAATTTTCCACGTATTTTTGAGTCATCTGCCTTGCTGTTCTCAAAGTGAAGATGTACCATTTTTATTGTTCTACTGTACTCTGTCAAGAAGTTACGAGGCATCATGCTCATTAGACACCTCCCTCCCTTGTAGCGAAATATACCTGCATATAAATCTTTATTGTGAAATATCTTGAAAATTTTAGCCAACCAACATCTTTATCACCTGTTTTCTAATTCATCTAATCAAAATAGGTAAAATTATCACATTTTATCTCGGAGGTTGATAGTTTCCCAAAATTTGTAGACCAGTGTGGATTGTAGATAAGGTCTCCAGAATGGCCTCCTCTTGGGGCTTTTCTTTGTTTAATCTGAGGCTTGAAGTAATAGGGCTGCTTCTCTCCATATGCGATTCTGAGAGGCCTCAATGTTGGCACTTAACGTAAGGGACTTGATGGGACAGTTCCTGAGCCAAATGGGAGAGCAGAAAGGCCCACCTGTTCTCTTGAATTGAACCATTCTACACCCATGCAGTGTTGTGGCCTGTCAGCGGCCTGTGCAGTTAGTAGCTGATTCCGACAGCGAGGAGGCTGGTGTGGTGCTGCGCCAGCAGCCTGTGCAGCTGGCGCTCGAGTCAGACAATGAGGAGGCTGGAGAAGTTTCAAGTTTATTAGATTTCTATATCGCCCTTCTCCCGAAGGACTCAGGACGGTGTACAGCCAGATTAAAACACATAGATTTATAAAATTTAAAACCAATTAAAATCAAATATAAAATTTGGCCAGCGAATTAAAACACACATACACCCATTTTAAAATTCGTACTAGGCCAGTCCGACTTGCTGGAACAGAAAGGTCTTAAGGGCGCGGCGAAAAGTACGCAGGTCGGGGCTAAGATGAAGCTTTAGGGGCAGCTCATTCCAGAGGGTTGGTGCCCCACAGAGAAGGCTGTCCCCCTGGGTGTCGCCAGTCGGCATTGTTTGGCCAACGGCACCCTGAGGAGCCCCTCTGTGGGAGCGTATTGGCTGGTGGGAGGTTGTTGATGGCAGAAGGCGGTCTCGTATATACCCCGGTCCTAAGCCATGCAGCGCTTTAAAGATGGTGACCAACACCTTGAATCGCACCTGGAAGACCACCGGGAGCCAGTGCAGCTCGCGCAGGAGGGGTGTTACGTGGGCGCGCCGAGTCACACCCATAACCACCCGTGCAGCTGCATTCTGGACCAGTTGGAGCCTCCGAGTGCTCTTCAAGGGGAGCCCCACGTAGAGAGTGTTGCAGTAGTCCAGCCGGGACGTGACGAGGGCATGAGTGACTGTGCGCAGGGCATCCCGGTCCTGAAAGGGACACAACTGGTGCCAGAGGCGGGGATTCCGCCAGGGCCTTCAGAACCTCCAGAAGCTCCCATAAGTGAAGAGGAAGAAGAGGAGGAGCCTCTTCTCGATACATGGGCGTGCAGAGCTGCCAAAAGGCAGGAGTGGCTCCTCAGGAGGAGGTCTCCTCGAGAGTAAGGCTTGGGGCTAATTGGCCACTCCCTTAGCCTATTTAAGGAGGAACGCCGACGGGAGCA